ATTGATCATTCCACATAGTGAAAACTTAGTTAAAAGCAACACCATGCTCTATATTGTTTTTTCTACGCGGCATGATGTTGGTTGGTTCCACTACTAACCATCAATAACAGAACGACGGAAGCTCAAGTCCAACACCTGACATAAAAGACATAGTGATAGAATAAGAAGAGAATGTTACAACGCCTAATTAAGGCGAGTATGCACCAACTGATAAACTTCTAACAAGATTGAGAGCCAAGCATGACACAAGCATGCCACGATCACCAACTTCACCATCCCGGATTCATAGCCTTCCGCGCCGTCCACGATCTTCGGGAAGCGCCCCTTATGCAGGATTTCAGCCCCAACATGCAACAATTCATCCATGTCAGATTTATGCATTCTCACCCACTATTTCGGAAAAGGGCAAGCCTGACATATCAATTCACACGGTGACCGAATCCACTTGGTCTCAAAACATATATAGACTGTTTATAATATTTCATATTGTCGAACGCATGGTAGCCACAAGAGGATTTTCTCAATGCTTTTGTTGGATCATGAGATCAAACGAAAGCATTGAGAAAAACAACCAGAAAGATTCACTGTTCCAATTGGCACCGCCCAAGGCCTGGGTCGTGAGGCTGGATTGCTTCGTTTACTGTAGTGTGTTTTAACACTGTTTAGCGTAGTAGCTAGTGTTTGGCCTAGAACTTGGCCCAATCCTGGCTACGTCACTGAAAGCACCCTAGGTATTATATATAAGACACCTAGAAAACAAATGATCAACACTCCTATTGCGTTAGCTGGAACAAACAAAAAATTGGCTTTGATAAGTTTCATCTGGGGACATACGAGGCGACACCGTGCATGGCCATCGCTCACCTCATTGCAGCCCAGCTAGTCCCCGCCCTCATCCAAATTTGAAAGTGCCGATGGCTTAACAGAAGGACGTGAGGCCGTCTGTGTACGTAGACCGTCTGTTAAAGAAGCCGCCAACAACAGGAGGAGTTATTATGATGACACGCTCATCATCCATTCCATTCCATTCCTCCTGCCACACGTACTCCTACATGCTGTTCCCGGTGGGCACACCTCACTATAAAGTACACCGCCCTTTCCATCTCGTCATCAAACATCACACGCACGCACACGCACGCGCGCACGTACCGTCACATGACATGCCATTGGGCGCCGGGGACTATGCCATCCTAGTGGAGCAGCAGTAGTACACCCGCTGCTGGGGCCTTTGGAACATCCCCTGCATGCCACTGCCACTGCTGGCCAGTCCATCCACGTATGCCAAAGCGGCAGCTCGCGGCACCAGTGAGTCAGTTGCTACAGGACATGGTGGGGGTGATGGTGATGCGGGCAGGGCATGGCAGGCCCTGCTCGCTTAATTGCGACCCGAGCAAGGCCACAAAAGGTGCAGGGGCAGCACAGGACAAGCGGCCGTTGCAGTCGCAAGCACAGGGGCACAACCTCGCAGGTGCACTGCACGCATTGGATGGACGGCGGCATCGGTCGACGCACAGACCGTGACCTGTTCGTTGCCCTATCCGGCCGGCAGCGCCCACCGGTGTCGGCTGCCCGCCTGCGAGTCAGCAGCGTTAGGAGGGTCGGGTCGGGTCGGGTCGGGTCAGACTGGCCGGCAGACGTGGCGGTGGTGGCAACGTCACATGCATGCAGGGGCCGAATCAGCCAGCTGCATGGCCAATCACAAGCTTGCTTGCTCCAAGCTTCTTGGACGGATAAGGTAAAGCGACCGAACAAACTTTCCATCCATGGGGAAATCCTTTCTGTGTGCGTGCGTGCGTGCGTGCGTTCGTTATATAAATAAATGCAAGCAAAAGTGGGGAGGGTCATTTGATCTGGTCACTCGTGAGCGCGCCCCTTTTGTACTTTGCGTCACTCGCTCACTCACTCACTCACTGAGCTCGAACGTGAGAGTGAGAGAGAGGATCAAGTAATCCCAGCCTTTTGTTGGATGGATGGGAACCTGCTTTCTGGCCTCTCTTTCTCCTCCAGCCTAGAATTAAAACCGAACACACGTCCGGCTGGCTAAGCCTGAGGTTGACTCGAGTTGGCCGGCTCTTTTCAAGCTGACATGGACACCCTGCAACGCAACTGCAAGCGCGACTTTCCTCTTTCCCCCCCATAAACAAGGGCCGGATTCTCGTCCCCCGTACGCGTCCGTGCGTGCGCGCCGCACTTTCCGATGATGACGACGAGCAGGAGCAGGAGCAGGACCAGGACAGACATGGCACCTGGACAACGACACTGCCAGGCAGAGGCAGAGGCAGAGGCAGAGGCAGGTGGACTCGTGGCTGGACCTGATGCGATATCGAGTGGACTAGTAGTATATTTATAAGCAGGAGTAGTATGACAACTTGGTCGCCCTCGAAAAGAACATCGGAAAGGGCCAGGAGAGGAGCCCGACAGATCCCCAAGTGGAGACGACAAGGAACGACCTTCTCTTTCTTTCTCACGGGGCATTGATTGATTAGTACTCCTACTCACGCGGCTGGATTGGATTGGATTGACCAGCTCGTGACACGGATCGCACGCCGCTGCTGGCCGCCGCGTCCGGAGTGGCATCATTCTCCCCACGGCCACGGAACAGAATAATGTGTCCCCCCCCTGCCGGGCCGGACTGGATGCCGTGCCACGGCCGTCTGTCCATTCGCCTGACGTGGGCGGTCATGTGATCCCAGGAGAAAAGAAACGGAGGAAACCAGCAGCCTGTCGCAAGCAGGAGCCAAAAGGTCCTGTGGTTTTAATTCAGAGAGGCACTGCAGGAGCCACATGGTTGACCAGTGTCCCGCCCGGGAACAGGGACGTGATATCTCATGTGGACGTTCAGTTTCTTTTTCCATCTCCCTCTTTAAATGGAGTGGAATGGAACAGGGCAAGGGCAAGGGCAAGGGCATGCGGCAGACAAAGCTCCTGGATCGTTTCGTTTGTCCGGGGCAGCATGCATGGGCACGTTCAACAGAGCTCTGGGGTCCTCCTCCTGACTCCTCTGCTCTCTTCCTTGCAGCCAATCATGATATATGCTACTGCCAATAATAAGCTGGGCTCCTCCTGTCTACTACTAGCATCGAACCTTGGGCGAGCACTAGTGAATTGCTCCTCCATGGCAATGGCATTTTCTTTAGCTTCGAATTTGTGGCCGGAGAAGAAGAGTGCTGCTGGAAACGGGCGAGGCGGCACCACACAAAACAAGGCCAGGGAGATTCCCTGTCATATATAACTTCCACGAGAACATGGAGAAACTCGGATACTCGCCCACACTGTGCTTGATTTCTCTCCCACGTCTTCCCAGCAGATCCTGAAATCAGCACTAGAAGCAGAGTCCAGTGTCAGGCTGTTTTCAGCTACTACGTACTCCATGGAACGCCAACCACAGGGGCAAGGCAAGACATTCTGGATTTTCAGGAGCCGGTGGGCTCGTGGCTCAGCCTTGTTACACAAACTGTATTCAAGCTAACAGTAATGCATTTGAGAAGTATTATATATGAGCCCTCTTTCTTAGGGCAGACCACACTGGCTAAATAGCCTAAATCACTTCCGTTAATGAAAAAGAACCCCTGAACATTCCCGAATGGTTCCCACTTAAATTCTATGAATCGAAATCTTCAACGCAATTTGATCTGCATCTCTTCCTCAACAAGCTCAAATATTTCGTCAATTCTGAAAATAAAATCAAGAGATCAATACTATCACACTATCAACAAAACTAGTACTCCCTCCGTTCCAAATTACTCGTCGTGGTTTTAGTTCAATTTGAACTAAAACCACGACGAGTAATTTGGAACGGAGGGAGTATATGATACAGCTTAATTTCGAAATTCAGGTATCCTTATACTAATTTGTAAAATCCAAAGCTAAAGCAGATGGAGCAATTACCTACTCGTCTTGATGTTCACATTAGCAAGCCAAGAGGTTAAATAAACCTGTAAAATAATAATTGAAAAGACACAACCCTTGTTAGAAAGCATGCTGCAATGAGCACAACACATTTGATCTAATCCAAAGATGGTGCTCTCATCCTTTATTTACAATGAGCCAACACAATGCTATGTCTACCAAACAAACAATTAAAGATCTAAACATCAGGACAGAGACAGTTGATTTCTAAGGGAATAAATGCAAAGCTATTGCAAAAATTGGATCAACACCTGTAAAACCTCATGGGATGGGGTATGTCCAGGTCGCCGTGCCTGTAAGACATCAGCCTTCCAATTCTCAGGTAGTGGGAAGCTGTCTCCAGACCCCAGGCCAATCCTCTGAAATTCGTTGAATTCCCCGTCATATAACTCATCTGACCATTCTAATGAAGGATCTGCACCTTCTTTTAAGTTAATTGACAGGAGGTCCAAGACAATCAGTCTCTACATTAAAAATGATTTCCACTGTCAGGATTTTTCCAAAAGTTCAGGAGAAACAGGGATGTAAAAAAATGCGATTTCTAAGTGCACAAGCTAAAACATAGCAGAATTGTGTGATGGCATACCTTCAATCGTAGCTCTGAAACAAACATCTCAACAAGCTCTTTGGCGAGGTTTTCTGAGATCAAGTCACGAATAACAACAAATCAATATATTAGCCGTATCTTGCTGGATCAGAAAGATCTGATCTTGAGTAGCTATTTTAGAAAGAAATTACGGACAAATCACTTTGGATATAAGAAACCAGATATTTATTCAGTCAACTTGATCTAATGTGGCAGTGCTACACTGAATAACTTGCAAATTATTTACTAACTATATAAAATTCACTTGATTTTCTGACTAAGTTGGAGCTATTTCCCAAACTACACAAAATTGATTCCAAGAATGCATTTCTGTCATGCCAAACACAAATGAAAAGAAAGTTCATCTGTCCATCCGAATCCTAGTACGTCTTTCAGAATAAAAATTTCTGAATCTCTTAAAAGCAAGTAATGTCACGTGGGAAGGGGAAATAAAGATTACGGAACTTAATCCAGTTTTGCATAAAAAAATGCGAGTAACCCACCAAATTCTAACATGGAGATCCATCTGTATACTGGAGCTCCTCCACCATCCCCTAAATCATTCAAATCATCCTGCCGATCAGTAAATCGGACTAGTGGGCTACCAGAAGATACTTTGGAGAAACACCGCATGGCATGAGAAGCTTTAACCAAGTCGGACATGGCACAGACCTATTACCAGGAAGTAGGAAGAGCACCAAAAGTCAAACAACCATTAATGGCTTACAGGGTCCCGGCTAAAATGACATGAACAAGCATGGGCTTTGTATGAAGCATTACCATCTCCTTGTAGGCTGATAGAAGCATCTCGCGGCATTGCACCTGAACCAAGCAAGGGACATGAAAATGAGGGGATGAACAAGAAAATTAAACCATGCTGCTGAGGAGGATTGGCTGAGTTCCTGGCGACAGCGTAGCTACCTCCTTGTGGGTCAATTTGGCGCTCGCCCTGTCGCGGATCCTGGGCATGTCCTTGAGCACCCCCAAATCCATCCCTGGCATGTAACTGACAAAATGACAAGCACAAGGCGCAGTCAGTAACTAGTTAATAAAATCTCAAAAACTCAAGCGTCGCCGAAACACAGAGCCAGAGAGGGGGCAACCTGCGGGAGAGGTAGGCGTTGACGAGCGTGGCGGCATGGGAGCGGCCGCTGGCGGCGGCGTCCAGCCACCGGGTCTTGGCGGCAAGCAGGCGCGACCACTGGTTGCGCAGGTTGCGCTGCGCCGCTGGGCGCCACTGGCGCAGAGATAAGGGAGATGGGGTTGGGGATGGGGAAGAGGGGTCGGCAGGGCGGCGAACAGGGGTGGCTGCACAGTCCTCCATTGTTTTGCCTAATGGAGTAAAGGACTTCTCAGGTCCTAAACTATTCTGAGGCAGTGGCTGAGCTAGAAACAAATAATCCAGTGGGCCACCTACAAAAAAAACCGACATAACACAGTAATAAGAAATTGACCAGAAGAGCAATATGAATAGCTTAATCAAGTCTCACAACATTAGAGTTAACTAAAAATGTTTGAAATTTCCAAATATTACAACACAACTAGGGCTGGACAGAAAGCTCAGGGCTCGAAGATACAACAAGCCAGGCCCAAGCCTCCGGCCAAGCTCGTGAAGCACGCAAGCTGGTCAAGGCTCGGTGCAAGAAACATATGACATGACCTTTGCTAAAGAACTAGCAATACATTACCATATACTACAAGATAATATAGGCATGCACTGATCAACAATTCACAAATCGAAAGAAGAAAGTCCAGCAAGGTCCAACATCAACGATACCATTCACATATGCATTTGGTCCATCAAATTGTCTCAAGTCTCTCTCAACAAGGACGATTCAGAAGGACCATTACTGTATTGTCTTCTCCTAATTCTCATTCTTTGTATTATCTTTCCACCCATTTCTTGTATCGGGTCAGTAAATCTCAATGAATGTGATTTACTCTGCATCTCAGTTTTTGCAGGTCAAAATCAAACCTGTGTGCTAGCCAATAATCAAATTTTGCTATCCTACTAAATTAATCACATAAGTCAAGTCTCGTACATTGTCACATAAACAATAAAGGGGCCCTAACGACCAGGGTGGTCCAACCTTTTCTTTTGACAACGAATATGACATGCCAACGTTCTAATTAATTTACCAATAGCAGATAGAAATAGATCAATATGGTCTTACAGACATACTCCCTCCGTCCGGAAATACTTATCATAGAAATGGATGTATCTAGACATATTTTAGTTCTGGATACATTTACTTTTATCCATTTGTGGACAAGTAATTCCGGACGGAGGGAGTACTAAAATTCTCAATTGCCTAAGAGAAGCCTACATAATACATACCTTGAGAAGTTCAAGAAAGACTGTGTGGCATTGTTAATTTGTAAAGAGTGGCATTGTTAGAGTAACATGTTAGAGTGGCAAACAATCAGACAAGTCATTAATTTGTCAATAATCAGGTGTTCATGTACTGGGTAGCAAAATTATGTGTATGTATTCACAGGACTGTGTGTGCATGTACTGGATAGCAAGTCCTGTTGTTCAGTTAACGCAACAATAGACTTGACTCTTCCACCTGATTGATGCAATAGACAGCAAAGAGCAAACCCTAAATCAGAAATTGGGGAATGGGCAGTGCCACAGTGGACAACTTACCTTCAGTCCTCAAATCGAGCTCAAGGCTTACTGCCGGCCGAGTGCCGGAATCGGTGGAGGGCGGACTGGGCGGCCGGCGCCGGCTTGCAGGGGCGCTAGGGAAGCGCAGTAGCGCCGAGCGCTGGGCGGGCGGGGCGGGCAGGGGCGGTTCCTGGGCGTCTAGCGATGACGAGGCAGACAGCGACGGCTGACGGCGTCCGGCGAGACAGCCAGCGAGATCGGGAGCCGAGCCGCCGAGGTCGGGGACGCGCAGGGGCTCGGCGCGTCTGTCCCAGTGTCCCCTAGGTGCGTTTTCCCCCCTTGAGAACAGGTTTTTTTTTTGAGACAATCTTGAGAATCAGGTGCATTGTTTGTTGGGCTAGACGGGTCGGGGCGAGTTTTGTTGGGCTTTTCTTTCTTAGTCCCATCTGTAATTTCCTGTCGTATATGGCCGGTCTAAAATCCCACAGCCCACCCTGTCGACCTTGCAGATCCACTTGCAAATGTGTCACTACGGTTGAAGCTTTAGCCTGCCGAGAGGCCATGGCCCTGCCATCTGACCTGTTACAAACAAGCACCATTGTTGCATCAAACTGTAAAGGTGTCGTGTCAAACATAAAGGATGGGACGGGCAAAAAACATGGTCATATCATCCGGGAGATAAAGATTATGGCATAGGAATTCCAAGAATGCTCTCTCCTTTTTGAAGGAAGAGCATCGAATTTGGAGGCACATAGCATCACTAAACATGCGCTTAGTTTATCTGAAAGACGTTATTTATGGCTTTTGCAACTTTCTATCAATTGTATTCCTCTAAACATTATTGAGCAATAAAAAGTAAGCGTGTGTTAGCCTAGAAAACCTTGCGAATGTCACTTCCCCTTCTCTGGATCGATATATGGCGCATTGCATAGATGTCATTTGTCGTAACCTAAGAGTTTTTCTTTCACGATTTGTTTTTCCAAAATATTTCATCTTTTGAATCGCACATCCAAATGCCGAACCGTTTTTAGCGTTTGATTTCTCGTGTCGAGGTCTTCAAAACTAGATCTCATGTTAATAGATTTCAATGTACTTTTTTTAACAAAAAAACAAAAATATAAAACAAATACATAAAACAAAAAACAATTGGTTTGCGCAAAAAAGAACGAATGCAAAAAACGAAAGAAAAAACTAGAGCCGAAAGTACAATTGCGATTTTCCATTTTTTTTAGAAGCACGGGCTGTGTTTTCCCCTTTTTGGATAAGTTCTCGCGGAAGCAAATCTATGCTCCCACGCAAAGCAAATTTGTGCTTTTTGTGGGAACACTTTTTTTCCCCGAGAAGCTCAGAGAAGCAAATATGTGCTTCCTATGGAAGCACACTATTTTTTCTGAAAAACTCAGAACAGATCCGTGCTTCTACGATAAGCAAATATGTGCTTCTCATGAAAGCATATTTTTTTCCAGCAGAACAACTATGATTTCACGCAAAGCAAATATGCACTTCTTGTGGAAGCACATGTAAAATTAGTCATCCATGCAATTTTTAGCTTGAAAATTAGGAATGTAGGCAATATCCACAAAAGAAAGGTCAAATTCCAATACACTTTATATGATTAGTCATCCATGCAATTTTGACAACAAACTAAAAGAAACTATAGAAATTGAAAAGAGCTTCAAAATTGCATAGGAGCCTTTTATGTGCACTACTTTGTGGGAAAAAATTGATAAACTAGCAATACCACAAATAAAAAGTAAAATTTCCTTTTCTAGTGCCCAAGATGACTTTTTTGTCAACAAGAGCCAGAAATAAGATTATAAATTGTGCCATTTCAGTTTTCACCTAAGGCAGATCACATGGGATTCCAGCTGCCAAATTTTCATGAATTTCAGTTTTTTTGTATATATCATTGATTTATTGAATTCCTAGCAATTTACATCAAGTAATTCAAATTTGAACTACAAGTGTGCTCTAGTTTTGGTCCTATAAATTCTGGAAAATAATTTTTAGCTTGCACATTACGAATGTTGGCAGTAGCCACAAAGAAAGGTCAAATTCCAAACCACTTTATATGATTAGTCATCCATGCAATGTTGATAACAATCTGAAAGAAATGATAGAAAATGAAAAAGCCTCAGAAAATTGAAATCCCGTTGCATGGGAGCCTTTTATGTGCACTAGCTTGTGGGAAAAAATGATAAATTATTAATACCACAATAATAATTTATTTTTCCTTTTCTAGTGCCCAAGTTGACTTTATTTGTGAAGCAAGTGCGAGAAATAAGATTATAAATTCCGCCCTTTCAATTTTCACCTATAGTAGACCACATGGAATTCCATCTGAGAGTATTTTTGTCTATATTTCATTAATTTATTGAATTTCTAGTGATTTACAACGAGTAATTCAAATTTGAACTACAAGTGTGCTCTAGTTTTGGTCCTATAAATTTCGAAAAATAATTTTTAGCTTGCACATTAGGAATGTTGGCAGTAGCCACAAAGAAATGTCAAATTCCAAACCACTTTATATTATTAGTCATCCATGTAATTTTGACAATAATCTGAAGAAATTATAGAAAATGAAAAAGCCTCAAAAAGTTGAAATCCTTTTGCATGGGAGCCTTTTAGGTGCACTAGCTTGTGGGGGGAAATGATAAACTGTCAATACCACAACAATAATTTATTTTTCCTTTTTCGAGTGCCCAAGATGACTTTATTTGTTAAGCAAGTATGAGAAATAAGATTATAAATTTTGCCCTTTTAGTTTTCACCTAAAGTAGACTACACAGAATTCTAACTGCCCAATTTTAATGAATTTGGGAGTTTTTTTGTCTATATTTCCTTGATCTATTGAATTTTCTAGTGATTTACATCGAGTAATTCAAATTTGAACTACAAGTGTGCTCTAGTTTGGTCATATAGAAGGAAATATGCCCTAGAGGCAATAATAAAGTTGTTATTTATATTTCCTTATATCATGATAAATGTTTATTATTCATGCTAGAATTGTATTAACCGGAAACTTAGTACATGTGTGAATACATAGACAAACAGAGTGTCACTAGTATGCCTTTACTTGACTAGCTCATTGATCAAAGATGGTTAAGTTTCCTATCCATAGACAAAGAGTTGTCATTTGATAAACGGGATCACATCATTAGAGAATGATATGATTGACTTGACCCATCCGTTAGCTTAACACGATGATCATTTAGTTTACTGCTATTGCTTTCTCCATAACTTATACATGTTCCTCTGACTATGAGATCATGCAACTTTCGAATACCGGAGGAACACTTAGTGTGCTATAAAACGTCACAACGTAACTGGGTGACTATAAAGATGCTCTACAGGTGTCTCCGATGGTGTTTGTTGAGTTGGCATTGATTGAGATTAGGATTTGTCACTCCGAGTATCGGAGAGGTATCTCTGGGCCCTCTCGATAATGTACATCACTATAAGCCTTGCAAGCAATGTAACTAATGATTTAGTTACAGGATGTAGCATTACGGAACGAGTAAAGGGACTTGGCAGTAACGATATTGAACTAGGTATGATGATACCGACAATCGAATCTCGAGCAAGTAACATACCGATGACAAAGGGAACAACATATGTTGTTATGCGGTTTGACCGATAAAGATCTTCATAGAATATGTAGGAACCAATATGAGCATCCAGGTTCCGCTATTGGCTATCGACCGGAGATGAGTCTCGGTCATGTCTACATAGTTCTCGAACCCGTAGGGTCCGCACGCTTAACGTTCGGTGACGATCGGTATTATGAGTTTATGTGTTTTGATGTACCGAATGTAGTTCGG